AAAAACATTTAAAAAAAAACACCAAATTTCTCATCATAATACCTCTGAAAGAATACGTATAAAAAGTATATATATAAGAAAATTCGAGGTATTTTTCTGACCAATTATTATTGTTTATTATTTTTTCGTTACACAAATATTGATAGATGTATGATTAATTAAGGAGCTGTCCAACCAGAGGTCTTTCGAGCCCTTTAACCTTCGCGGTTTACAATAAGAGAAGTACGGTAAAATTAATGATAGAGAAAGTTGTAGCTCATTTAATCACCTTTAAAATAGTGTATTACAAGTTCTGATAAAATCAGAATTAAAAGAGTAATAATCCAATTAATGCTGTGGAGGGTGACGGAGTGCAAATTGTTAAAAACATTGAAATTAAGATAAAGATTAGCCTATTTCCAAATATCAAGTAAATTGGAGCACAGTAAAAAAATCACAGAGCAATAATTTTGTTGATTGTAAGTTGAATAGAGCACATGTGAACAGGATTTGACAAATTAATTCATCAAATATAAACTTAAGCAATAATGTATATTGATTTATTGGAGAAAAAAATGTAATTTAGATATTAAAATTACTAAAAGCCAGTTAAAATATGGTACGAAATTATAAAAATTATAGGCAACATTATTGAAGCATAATTTGGGTAAAAAAAATAAAAGGTGATATTGCACCTTTGCCGCGAATGCTATATATTAATTCTTTCTGAATTTGTTGTCCTTTTTAAAAGATTTCAATTTTCAACACGTGTGTCTTATGCTGTGACATAAATCACAAAGGCAGACGATCATTTTTATTGTGATAAATTTGGAAAATCGATGTTTTAGTCGTGAATAAACAAAAAATCATTCATTTATACATCCACATGTACAGGTATGACTAAAAATACTATATAACCCTTAAATGCAATAAAATAAATTGAGCTATTGGAAATAAATTTGTTCTATAAATCGCAGTGTATAATTTTTAATATACAATTTTATTGAACATTTTTCAATATTTGTTAAATGAATAATTAAAGTGTTAACTGTGAGAATTGAGAACAATCATTTTATTTGAAATAGTTCTACATTCAACATCACTCATATATTGGTGTAAATAGTAATCCAAAAAACAGTAATTATTATTTTTAACTAAGCAGTAAATATTAGTATAAAAAATTGAAAAATTGTAGACATGAGTACAGAACAACGTCTGTCGGGTCAGCTAGTATATATATATATATATATAACTGATTTTTGAATTACCTTTGCTTTTGGATTCGCTTTTTGGTCCAGCAATCGTGTAGTCATCAATATTTTCCTCCAATTCAGCTTCGGTACCACTGTCCTTGCTGTCGTGTTCCCTTGAAGAACTGCTGGCTCTAGAAATATCGATTCTTGGTGCCAAACTGACAGCACCCTGAGTTGCCAAAGGTGGTCTATGGTGAGTCAGGAGTGGCGACTTCTCAGGATCACCAGAAATAATGTCTTCGGTTGCTTTATTTTTATTGAAAGCTGCTTTTATTGCTTCTTCTGCTAAAGATTTTGCTAGTTTCTGTTGAACACCATCATCGGGAATATCAGTATCTTGTGGTGTATTTTTTAGCTTTTTGTGGTTTCGTTATTTCGTTTGTGGAACGTGCTGATTTGATGGCTTAAACCAGCATGTGTGGCAGCAATCGCTTCTTCAGCTAAAGACTTTGCAATTTTTTGCTGGATGACATCAAAATTTCTTGTAGAGTCTTCAGGACTTGTAGATTTCGACGTAGAGTTTTTCTTAGCCTCGCTGCTTCTTGCAGGAAAAGTGCAAATCTGGTGTGACAAACCGGCGTGTGTTGCTGCTATTGCTTCTTCAGCCAAGTTTCTAGCTAGTTTTTGTGGATTTTGATATTCAGTCTGTTGGTGCGTCAAAGGAACGTCTTTTTGCGGAGATTTATTAGCAGGTCTAAAAGTTTGAAATGTGATTTTACTAGTGTCTCGTACATCATCGCAAGGTCTCGGACTGGCAGCTCTGACAACTTCTTCGGTCAAAGTAATTGCACCTTCTCGCAAACTTATCGTACCTTGTCTCGGACTAGGACTAACAGCACCTTGTCTAGGACTCACCACAACCCTTTCCCTAGGACTCGTCGGAACATTATTACCTTTACCTCGAAAACTTTGGAAAGTAGCCACAGGCGAACCACCACTATCGCTCTCGCCGCCTTTTTCTCTCTATCTGCTAGGAAAGTGGACGGATAAAAATTCTGCGGAAATCTGGGATCGTACGAATGCGAATACAATTCGGCTTTGGAAATTTGAGCATGGAACGTGGACTGTTGATCTGGGTCAGTTGGGGTCTGATCGGGGTCTGTAGGTGTTTGCTGGGGGTCAGGAGGCCTGGTGAGGGCTGAAAAGGGATGGGAAGGGTCAAAATCGTGGGATGCTAAAACGTGCTCCGTGATGCCGGGCAAACGAGACGATTGACTTTCCGGGCTTTCCGGCAGCTGCAAGAAAATAGTAAAGGTTAGATGAAACACTACTGAATGGAATTCGAGAGGAGTTAAGGGGCACAACTAGTGTGAAATTTTTAAAAAATCGAATTTTCAATTTTTACATATTTCGATTGGTTATACTTTACTTTACTTTACTACTTTAAAAATAACATACCAAAATTTTAAATCAATATCTTAAATAGTTTTTGAGTTACAGCCATTTAAAGAGTATATATGTAGTATATAGTATAACGATCATTTAATCTTTAAACGCGTTTTTCTCGAACTCGAACAGTGGTTACTCAAAAACAAATGATCCGAACACTATCGAATTTTACATGTTCTATGTATAGTTCTTCGTAAAATGAACTATCGATTTTTTGATCGGATCAAAAAGCGAAATTTGGCAGTCCAAAAACGACCAAAATTTTGGGTAAAATTCGACTTTTTAAAAAAAAAAAACGCCGCCATTTTGTCAATTTTTGATTTTTTTTATCATAGGTCATTTTACAGAAAATATTATCTAGTTTAACAAGAATTTTGTATTTTTTAAATATCATCCACGTAGAAGGCCGGAATCACTGCAGCAGTGAAGGGCCTCTTTTTTGTCGCGCCGTTGGAGATCGACGATAACTTAAAAAATATTTAATTTTTTTCTTCAAGAATTATACTATGTTTTCTCAAAACATGTATAAATATATTCCCAAAATTTCGAAATGATTGATAAAGTAGTTTTTTGAATATAAATTCCCAAAAATCACCTTTTTTTAGGCGATTACACTAGTTGTGCCCCTTAAGGTAAATGTACACTATTCCGGGATAGTACATTATTACAGGAGTTTTTCATTTTGATCGCAAAATACGAAAACGGTCAATAAATAATAATTTTATTCAATAGCACATCAATTATAATTTGAATCCTAATAAAACAGTACAATTTCCGAATTTAAATATTAGTTTTTAAAGCCGTAAAAAGCGTTTGAAAGCATTGGTCGTGACTAGGGAATGCAATACCGGTATACCGGTAAACCGCCCGATTTTTCGGCGGTATTTTTACCGGTATTTATTCAAAAAATACCGGTATTTTCAGTATTTTTACATGAGCGCCATTTAATACATAATACCCTAAAGTTTAAATTTCTCGGAACAAATTTATCTTTAAATTCCATAATACCATAAACAGCTATACCTTCAAGTGATTCTACAAGATAAACAAATGTCAAATATTATCTCAACTCGTCATTAAACTGAATATTTATTGCTTTCCAAAGGGCTTCATATCGTGTTACAATAAATAGAATTGGACTGATAGATTATGATGTTTGTTTCATGTTATGTAAAAATGCAACGGTTTTTTAAGTGATATTTGCGCCAAAATATTTTATATCATTCAGATTACCCCTGCTGATTGGAGATTATGCTAATTTAACACATCGGATACAGACAATACCGTTTATTATAATAATGTAATATGAACTTTAATGAGTATTTGGTCTTTCTTACTCATAAGTTTGTTTTTGGTGAAAAGACTCAATATACTCGATAGTGATAATGAATTAATTAAATTGGATTTAATTTTGTTAAATTATTATATAAAAAAATAAACTTATTGAAATATTTTATTGTTTTTATTGTTTAGTTGAATATAGTTGTAGTTGTATATACATTTTTTTATATTTGTACTAGTAACTTTGAATTTTGTTTACGTTTGTTTAATATAATAAAAATACCGGTAATTTACCGGTATTCCGGTTTGAAAATGAAAAATTACCGAAATACCGGTATTGAAATTTTCCATCGGTATTGCATTCCATATATTCAACTATATTTATCGAGGGAATATGATCAAAAATGTATGCTTCGAGCGCTATCACGGAATAACGTACAACGACTCCCGGCATTATGTTCACCGGGCGAATTTTATCACGGAATTAGGGACAAACGTGTCGTTCAGCAAAATGCCGATAATTTCTACAAATGACGTTCTACGACAAAAAATTTTGTTTTATAATAATCGTAAAGGTCTATAATTCAAAAAATATAACAGATTTAGTTCGTCTACTTTCATATTTTCTCTAAAATTCGTCTTTAAAGTCAAACGTTCCTTAACATCCCGAAATAAGGTACGTTTACCTTAAATATGAATGACCAATGAATGTAATATGGTACATCCCGTAATATGGTACGTTTACCTTAAATATGAATGACAAATGAATGTGTATATGAATGATAGTGCTGTCCAACATACTTTTTTTATTCTCACCTCATCAGAGAGATCTTCGAAGGACGCGAACGGTGCCGGTCCCATGCGCTGTTGTGCCATGACATTGCACCAAAACACATTAAACTAAACACAATCGGCACATCATCGATATCAATCGAATTAATTAATAAATTAACTCATCAGGATATATTTTAATGAACATTCAATGTTAACACTTGAACTTGGAAGAAGCAATTGTTCGTTTCGGGTTTGATCGTCCACATGAGGGTTGCTGTTGAGATTCATTCTGGAGACTAGAAAAGGGTGCCTGAAGTTATTAAACAATAAAACCATAAACAAACGCAATGACAACCATTGGCTACTGTATTCATTAAGAGAAAAATAAGTAAATTCACTGTTTTGTTAATAGTATTTTAATCAAGCTCTATTAAATTGCCATTTCATATTTTCACTATTCTTTTAGAATATACAAAAATTATCTACATATGTATAAAAATAAGTCGGGTTTTCCTTCCTCACGATATAACCCCAGAACGCACGAACCGATTTCGACAATTTTGCATTCGTTGGAAAGGTCTCGGGTTCTGCAAGATTTATAGCTGTGAAAATTAATGGTGCGTGGCATCGTGCCCTAATGCAAATTGCTGGAACTTCACGCACCGTAATTAAAAATTCGAGTAATGACATTAGTGAGAATTATCAGAATTATGCTTGGTTAAGCCAACGAGCAATTCTTGCCGTCAAGAATAATAATGTACACGCACTGAATTTCACCATTCAATCAAAAATTGCTGGCGATTTGGTGACATACCAATGATTCCGACTGGTCGCAATGACAATTAACAAGTCACAAAGCCAATAGCTTAGTGTTTGCGGGATAAATTTCAAATATATTATTTAGAGAATCATTGTTTTTCACATGGGCAGTTATACGTTGCCTGTTCACGAGTTGGAAAACCATCCGCTTTGTTTGTGTTAACGTCAGACCAAAAAACAAAAAATGTGGTTTACCAAAGAGCACTTCAATGAATTTGCGGATTCACTTTTATTTACTTAGAGAAGTTCAACTAAGAAAACACTTCATTTTTATAATCGAAATAAATTCATTGCTGTTGTATAATAAAATCAAATTTTTCCTTTTCAAATATAAAACAAACAAATAAATTCTTCATCTTACTCACGAAACCATCTGGTGGCGAAACGGAGTTCGTCGGGTTTGCTAGTATACCTATATATACTTTTAACAACGTTTTACAAAATTCTGTTTGATATTTGTTAATTTTTAACTAATAAACCAATATGACAACTATTCCACTTTGCAACTAGATGTGAAATGATTCTTTAAGTGCGAATTTTGCAATGGCCGAGTTGCTAATTATTTTAATTATTTAATTTATTTATTGATATATAATTTAAAATATGTCATTGATATTTTAATTCTGCATCGTTTAGAACTTAGTTAAACTTGCTAATAATTTTAATTAAGCAAACAAATAAATAGAAAAGATGACTCTTAGCATTTTTGTAGTTGAAAGATTTTATTATTGAATATTTCGAACGTTAAATATAAAAAAGTGCGGATACTAAATATTATTATGGATTCAAATATACTAATTATATGTAATAAATATTTTAAAAGTTGCAAGAAATAAAAAAATATATTATCTATTATTTTTATGAGACTATCTGCATTTTTTCGTAAGAATTTTCAGAGTTTTTTTTGACTTTTTGCCAAATAAAGAATTGGGTTAAGTATTGCATTGTCGATTTCGTATAAATATTACTTGAAACATGGTGATTTTCTTGCCAACAAGTAAAATATATTTTGGGAAAATATTATTTTTTCGTATATAATATACTGTACATATTCATGTCTGTCGAAAGTCATTTAGAATAACAAAAGTTTTGCAATTTTTTAAGTTCTTACAAATGTTTTTTTCTGAATTTACATAAAATTGAACTAGCAATCAACATTCCTAATGACCCAAACGCACGAACAATCTTCATTATGGTAAAAAAAGCAATAAAAAGTGTGTAATTAAATTTTTAACATACTTTTATATGACAAATTACGTAGTATAAGATTTTTATTGAAATTTATAAGTATACCGAGCTGTTTTGATATTATAGTAAATATCAATATAAAAAAATAACTCAAAAAATCCCAAACAATTTAAGACGATGTTAACCGAGCATATTATTAATTTAAACCATGATAGATTTTTTCAACGCAAAAATTTTACATTTTGAAGAGAAATGATTGAAAAAAGATTCGCTGAGGGGTTGTTTTTGCAATTGCAAAACGACAAAGTTGTAAGTGTTTATTATTATTATTATTATTAACTTTCCGTGGTGTATGTTATAGTAATCGCAAAAAAAATCGAACAATAAAATTTTTTATATATCTTTACGTTTCAAAGGTTTCTGAATATTTTGGCATACCTTAGAAAAAATGGATGTATGTGTGTGTGTGCGGATACAAATTTTCGTCGACGATTTCGGGAACACCGATCAACCGATTTGAATAATTCAAAAAACATACGATTCGTATTGATAAGGAGACGTGCTGATTAGTTTTTGGCGAAGGCATGTCTAGCCGTTCCGAAGATACAGGGCAAAAAGTGTCAAAAATGGTAACTCACTTTTTAAGAGAACGGAGCGTCCGATTTTAATAATTCAAAAAACTTGTATTGACAAGATGAAGAACTGATCAAATTTTCATAAAGGCAGGTCTAGCGGTTTCGGAGATCTAATAAAAAAAGTAAAAAAAAGCCATTTGGCGGTCAAA